GGAACTAACCAAGGATGCCCATTGTTTCCACTGCTATCCCACACAGTAATGGGAGTCTTAGTCATTGCAATCAGGCAAGAGAAGGCAATCATGTGTATCCAGATGTGGTCAGAAGAGATCAAACTGTCACTCTTCGTGGATGACCTGATCTTATACCTGGAAAACCCCAGAGACTCAACTACAAAACTCTCAGAAGCGATCAAGGAATACAGCAGCATCTGAGGATACAAAATTGACACTTACAAATCAGTATCTTTTATATAGACCAACAGTAGTCAAGCTAAAATTACAGTCATAGACTCTATTCCTCTTAGTAGTGCCAAAGAAGATGAAATATCTGTGAATTTACCTAACAAAGGATGTGAAAGATCTTTATAAAGAGATTTATGAAACACTGAGAAAACAAATAGCAGAAGATGTTAACAAATGGAAGAACATAGCATGCTTATGGTTTGAAGGAATCAACATTGTTAAAATGTTCATACTAGCCAAAGCAATCTACAGATTTAATGCGATCCCCATTAAAGCACCATTGTCATACTTTAAAGATCTGGATAAAATAGTCCTCCGTTTTACATGTAATCAGAAAAAAAACATAAATAGGGAAGACATTACTCAGACATAAAAACAAATCAAGAGGACTCATGCTATCAGACTTCAAACTATCCTATAAATCTATAGTGATGTAAACAGCATGATATTTCCACAAAAATAGAGAGGTAGGTGTATGGAACAGAATAGAGAAACAAGAGATGAACCCAGACATTTACCATCATTTGATCTTTCAGAAGCCTATCAAAAGCATTAATTCATGTAAAGAGTTCCTATTTAACAAATGATGCTGGGTGAACTGGCTAGTGACCTGTCGGAGACTGAAATTGGACTCTAACCTTTCACAATTAACAAAAATTGATTCTCCCTGGATGAAAGGTTTAAACTTAATACAGGACACTATACAAATACTAGAAGAGAGTGCAAGGAAAATGCTTGAAAAATTGTCCTTGGAGAATTGTTTATGAGAAGGACTACCCTGGCAATTCAAGCAACACAAAAAATATATTACCTGGATCTGATCAAACCAAAAAGCTTCGTCATGGCCAAGGGCAAAGTAAGTAAAGCAAGAAGCCAGCCTTCAGAATGGGAGAAGATATTTGCAGGTTATATTTCTGGGAATGGTGTGATAACTAGAATCCACAGAGAATTCAAACTAAGCAATAAGAAATGAACAAATAAGCCCATTTCCTTATTGGCGAGAGATTTAAACAGAAACTTCTCTAAAGAAGACCGGCAAATGGCCTACAAAAACATGAAAAAATGCTCATCATCTAAAATCATCAGAGAAATGCAGATCAAAACTACTTTGAGATTAGCCCACATCACAAAATCCCAAAACTTCAGATGTTGGCATGGATGTGGAGAGAAGTGAACATTTCTACATTGCTGGTGGGAATGAAGCTAATGAGGCCTTTTTGGAAAGAAGTTTGGAGAGAATACTCAAGGAATTAAAAGTAGACCTGTCATTTGATCCTGCAATTCCTCTACTAGGTATATCCCCAAATGTTCAAAAATAATTTGATATCGAAGACATTTGTGCCAGAATGTTCATTGCAGCCCAATTCATAATTGCCAAGTCATACAAACAGCCTAAGTGCTCATGGACCCATGAATGAATTAACAAATTGTTGTATATGTACACTATGGAATACTAGGCAGCCATAAAAAAGACAGAGACCTCACATCTTTTATGTTTACCTGGATGGAGCTGGAACATATTATTCTTAGTAAAGTGTCTCAAGAATGGAGGATAAGGTATCCAATGTACTCAATACCATTATGAAACCAGTATGTAATCATCTACACTTTCATATGAATGATAAAACAAAACTATAGTTTGGAAAGAAAGAGGGAAGATGAGGGAGAGGGGAGGTGAGGGGGGAGGCAGGGAGAAGGAAGGGTATTTGGTTGGACCTCATCTATTGTGCATAATGCAATGGTAAATTTTAAAACTATTAAGAGTAGGGTATAATAGCCAGGCATTGTGGCAGGCACCTGTAGTCCCAGCTACTTGGGAGGCTGAGGCAAAAGAATCACTTAAGCCCAAGAATTTGTGGTTACAGTTGGCTGTGATACCATGGCACTGAACTGTGGGCCACATAGTGAGGCTCTGTCTCAAAAAAAAAAAAAAAGAAGAAGAAGAATATAAATATTTTACCACAGCAAATACATAAGTGAGGTGCTGGTTATGTTGACAAGTTTGAAGTAAGTGCCCCTCCCCCCACCCCCACAGTGCTGATCCACATTGTGTATCAAATTAGCCCATTGTACCCCATAAATGCATTAATGTACACAGTTATGATTTAATAAAAAATTTAAAAAAAGAAATACTACATGCATATCTATGATGTTCAGGCATGCTTCTAGGGATTCTGTAGATGACACATTGGTGGGGATAAGTAGTGATCAGACAGTGGGATGTTTACATTTAGGAAGTCAGACCAGGGAGAGGATGCTAACATTCATGAAGTGGGTGGCTAAAAGGGAGATGATCATTGGAGTTGAGTGGGTCAAGAGTCAGGGACAGCATGGTGTTTTTAGGTCATTCGCATAGACTGTGAATCACTCAGGATGGCAGCAAGAGTTACAGAAGAGAGAAGCACTTGGCCCAATTGGCAGATTGCTCTCTGATTGTAAAGATGAAGGTGCCGTGCCTCTAGCCAACCTGCCCACCACCATGGAACAAGGCACATAGACACTCACAAGGAGTTATCTCCTCCTCCATCTTTGGAGGTGCTCCCCTAGAACTTTTCCCTCCATGAAGTGTTTACCCATCCCACATGCCAACAGCACCACAGCTTGGTCATAATCAGAATCAGGATGTTGAAAGCATCATTAAAAATTTCACCACAGGCTCGGCACCTGTGGCTCAAGCTGCTAAGGCGCCAGCCACGTACACCTAAGGTGGCGGGTTCGAATCCCCAGCCCGGACCCGCCAAACAACAATGACGGCTGTAACCAAAAAATAGCCAGGCGTTGTGGCGGGCGCCTGTGGTCCCAGCTACTTGGGAGGCGGAGGCAGGAGACTCGCTTGAGCCCAGGAGTTGGAGGTTGCTGTGAGCTGTAATGCCACGGCACTCTGCCCAGGGGGACAGCTTGAGGCTCTGTTTCAAAAAAAAAAAAAAAAAAATCTCACCACAACCTCTTACTCTTTCTGTAGGCAGTCTTTATTGATCAGGAAATGTGAAATTAAGGAAGACTTCATCCAGAGCTAAACAGTTCATTGGTTTGTGGCCAGAAATCAAGACTTGTTTTAGAGCTGCTGAGGAATTCTTCACTGGAAACAGGGCTATCCCAGTGAGGCCAGGCCAGAGTCTTCTCAGGGTAGAAGAGCAAGGATGGCAGTTCCTAAGTATGTAAGGCAATGAGGCCACAAGCAGTTTAACTTCTTATAAAAATCTCAATAATGGGCAGGGACAGTGTCCAGGGCTTCTTCAGGTTCCCGGGTGATGTCTACATTCTGAGAAGAGAGCCCAGGATCAATAGGAAGACAGCAGTGTAGAGCTCCAACCCCTCCCCTGCCTCCTGTCCTCACTGCCAGGTTCCCCTCTCAGACACCACTGGATCTTGACCTTCTGCTAAGGCAGGCATGAGGGAATCTCAGCCTGAGGCCCTTCTATCAGGAGTTGTTCTTGTGGTGCCTCAGATCTGGGCTGTTGGTTCTCTATTTCTGGAGTCTGGTTAGTCCATATGTTGATGCAAACACTCAGGCTCTGTGAGGTTGGGGCAGCCTTTGTGTGGGGGAGACAGGGTTTTGCTATGTACTGTATCCACAGCTATCCTGCCCCACAGAGCCCCCCACTTACCTCAGGCTTCTCCCGATGTGTGTTCACAGCCTCCACATTCAGGTAAATGGGCTCAACTTTGCAGCCTCAGAAAAGAACAACTGATCATTTGTCCACCAGCCCTCAAGGTAAGCACAGGTCTTACCTGAGGTTTTGTTCCCCCCACCATGAGTACTTAGTCCCAGCTCTCTACTGTGCACAGATTGGGACTTCTCTGTACAGAGGGGATTTAGACAGCTAGTGATATGTGAGGAAGATATCAGGCCTGAGAGGTAGCCTATGAGAATCCTCCCTGCTATATTCCAAATAGTCTTAGTTCTCTGAGCTTCAGTTGCCCATTTGTATTTCATAAGTAGGGATGGAGATGAAAGGAGGTATCTGTGGCCTCCCCTAGCTCTTGTGGTTTGTGAGATCTACATAGTAGATCTGCTGATCCTCCAAACTCTGTTAGGTGCTGAAGAGGTGGAAGCGTCCTGGGGCTATGCCCAGCAAAGTTTATTTAGAGGACAATGTGGTCACAGGTAATACCCGGGGTGTGGAAAGTCACAAGGGAGTTTTAAGGGACCTGAAAAAAGGAAGGTGCATTGCTGTGTCCTGGAGCTGGAAAGGAGGCCTAATGCCTGTGGAAGCTCCCTTAGTTCCATCCCTTACTCCAGGCTTCAGTAGGCCATTCTGCCCTGTTTATACCCACAAATTAGTGCAATTGGCTCCCTTCTCTGTTCATGAAACTTTCATAGATGACTAGTGTTGAGAGAGAGTCTAAACTTACCAGGGTAGGCTTTGAGCTCTTTCTCCAATATGGGCCCAGCCTACAGTTTTCCTCTGGTCCCCTTCGAGGAGTCCCCCTGTATAGCTTAGTGCTGTATGCTTACTACTCTGGCAGAAAAGAGAAAGTTGAAGCCAGGCCTTGGATTTAGAAGTCACCCTACTCTTTCCCTGTTATTCTGCTACCACTAGTCCCACCTCTACCAGAACATCCATCCACTCAGGGAATCTCCCCTAGGACTCTGCTGGAAAAATGGCAGGCACTGGGGGCATGCTCATATCCCCATGTGCCTTTCCTAGGATAACCTTGGGAACACTCACCATGAGCGACAGGAGTAAGTTTGAGCACTGTATGCAGAGGGCACTTGAGATAGGGAAGCTCATCTGGAAAAGAGTGGGAAACAAACCTCAGGGATACACAGATGGCCAGGCTACCACCTTCCAGAACTTTGAGCCTGCTAGACTCTCCCCCTGGTACACCCCTTGCCAGACTGGGCCTCACCAGGGGCCCATTACCCAACCATGCAGATACACTGCTGAGAGTAGACTGGGCAGGGAAAAGGATAGCAGGTAGGCTAGCCTGGAATGGAGGAAGGAGCACTTGTGGAAGGTGAACAGGCTGTGGGTCCTATCGGAGGGCCTCCCAGAGATAGCTATCTCTTCACTCCCAGGAAGAAGAAGACACAAAGGCCAGCTTCTACCTGCCCCAGCCTGGGGCCTTTTGTGCAGATCCCCACAAAAAAGTCCCACACTCCATGTCATCAAGTGTTCTGTGAGTCCCTGCTATGCACCATAGTCTGTGGTGCAGGTGGGTAGGGCTCCCAGACTCCTCCTTAGTGCAGCCTGCTCTCCCTCTCTCTTCCTACACTTGCAATGGACAAGCATCCATTTAGTCACTTCTTTGCAGTTACTGATGTGGCGCATTAATTTGTGCTGAATGTTCATGTACAGTTCCTTGTTGGGGCCTCTGTTTCCATTTATCAGACAAACCTGAGAGGAAGGGATGATGGGCCTGTGTGAAGAAAGTGAGGCTCTGAGAGGGAAGTCACTTGCCAAAGTCATGCTGCCAGGAAGGGACAGAGCAGGGACTCAAACCCAGGACTCTCTTGACTCTCTGAGGCCAAGATGTATGCTCTGCAACCCTACTATTAACTTTCCCTGCCATGAGGGACTTGCTATGTCCTGAGGTGCCACAGCCACCTGCAGACACTCTCACACTCCTACCTACCTACACATACCTCTCCTCATATCCTCTCACTTAGCAAAATACCTTCATGGAGCAGGATCACCAACCCCTCCTCCCACCGGCGGCTTTCCTGACCTTGAAGCTCATCCTAGGCCTTTGATACCTGCCACCACCCACCTAGAGCCAGCCCCTGAGACATCATTGTCAAGCCCTGGGCCAAGGGCATTCTGGGCCCTGTTTCACCACATCCTCCATGATCCTCTGATGTTCTGCATCCCCTCCTTCTACCCATGAGGAAAAAGATGCAGAGAAGGGAAGCCACTTGCTTCAGGTCTCTGACCCAACTCTGACACTGCCTCAACTAATGACCATGGCTCACTCTTTTTTTCTTCAGCCTTCAGTGTCCTCATCCCATAGAACAGGATTGGACTAGATATACTCTGAGGGTGCCCTATCCTTAAGACTCATGGGTCTGCATTACAAGTCACATCATCTCTCTGGGCCTTGTTCTATCATTTACCTAGGGGTAAGAACATCTGTCCACCTTTCTGTCTCCTACTCAGTTACCAGGATAATTGTGGGCAGCTGGTGTGACCTGTACATGAAAGCAAGTAGGAAGAGGAGAAAGCAGGAGGTGCCCATGTCCCCCATGTATTCCATTAATATCTAAGAGGGGTAGGCCTCTGGCATGCACCTGCGATCAACTCCTAACCCCTACACTCTGAGCCTTATCACCTTGAGCAAGTCACCTCACTTCACTCCATTACTTCATCTGGCTAATTGGAGTTACAGTGTATGCTTCAGTCTCAAAAGTTTGCCCCCAAAAGTAGAGATGTGAACATACATAAAGTTAGCAGTGTAAGGACCTCTACATCACACATCCCATCACCTATTTTCAGTGAGGAAATTGAGGACCTGGCAAAGGACATGACTTCTCTAATATCAAATCCTCAAGTTCCCTTTCTGACTCTGGACAACTCCATATTACAAGTGTTATTTATTTTGAAACTAGAATTGTAGAAAAAAATCTAAGACTGAAGGACATTGTAGAGACCAAGTATTATTTTGTATTGTCCTTAGATACCCTTAAAATATCCTTGAAATGTTGACACTTTAGCATCAACGTTAGAAATGGACTCTCACACCTGAAGATGATATAACAGTTTCTTGTAAGGCCCCTGTCCTTGTTTGGAATTCAGCTTATGTAGTTAGTGTATAGGTATTCTGCAAATGCAATGTCTAAGATGTTTTAAAAACTAAATTACCATTTGAGAACAATTGAAAGCATAGGCACCACTATTTTGGAGAAATCATCCCAATAGCAAAGACAGAAACCTATAATCAGGATTAGAGGACAAGGTGAAAAGCCCCACTGTCACCTGAGGGCAACATGCTTCAGGAAAATACTGACTCGGCTTTTTCAAGTTGAGGAAGAATGTTAAGGTTGGCTTTAACAGTGTTAGCTCAGAATAATCCTGATACTAACAATAGCGCTAACACTTAGATAGCCCATGTAATGTATCATGAACTGTTCTAAGCCCTTTATGTATGTTACCTATTTAAACTTCATCATTTGTATCCCCATTTTAAAGATTAGGAAACTGAAGCCATAGAGGTAACTGAATTTGCCAAAGATAATACAGCTAGTATGTGACAGAGAAAGAATCTGAACCCAGGCATCCTTATTTTAGATATTTTGCTATTAAGCACTAAAATATAAATCCTCATTTTCTGACATCAGAGTCTCAAATCATGTCAGTTCCCCACACCAAAAACAAAGAGGAGGGTGGTACCTGAACTTTTATCCAGAAAGTAGGCCAGGAGGCACCGCATGACAGCCTGGTGGCAGATCACCAGTACATTCTCCTGCCGTTCTAGCTCCATTATAACTGGTTCCAGACGCTGAACTAGATCCTCATAGGACTAACAATGAGAGAAATACTTGGGTAAGAAAGGGAGATGAGGTATACTTTCTAGAGCAGAAATATCTAAACTAGGAATCAGAAAAACTTGGTTCTGATGCCAGTTTAGATGTTGACCTAGCAGTGTGACCTTAGGCAACTCTTTTCCCCTTCCTAGGATCACTGTTTCTCATCTGCTAAATGAGGACAATCAATATAGTGGACTAAATAATAATAATAACATCCCCCACTACATAATGTCTTCTTAATTACACTGCTGACCTTTCAAAAAAAAAGTAAAAGAAATTCTATGAATATAGAGTTTCAAAATGAAGAAAACTTTAAAAGAGTGATAAGTGAGTATTGAAGCCACAGGTGTACTGGAGGGAGACATTTGCCAATCATAGTAACCAAGAGGCTTGAGTTTAAAAATAAACCTTACAGAAACAGGAAACTAGGGTTTGGGTATGCACAAGGTAAGGCATTGGTACTGAAAGTCTCACATAAACCTAAGATTCTCAAAAGGCAAATCTCTACATCCTAGCTAAAAGCATAAACTAGTAAAAGACCACTCATAGGCAAAGGAAAACAAGAAAATATATCTGTCTTCCCTTGGCTCTTAGTGGGAAAAAAGTAGGAAAAGCCTCCTGTAAGAATTTATAATGACTAGCCTTCCCTCAGTGGAGTTAAGGAAGGTTGGTGATTCAGAATTACATTACCTGTGTAGTACAGAAAATGTTATGCTAAAAATTAACCCACACCTAAAATCATACTTAATGGGTACATGCACACTATCTTGGTGGCGGTCACACTTATAAATTTGACTCAAACTGTGCAAAAGCAATTCAAATAGCCAAAATATCTGTACCCATATAATATTCTGAAATAAAAAAGAAAATATCTAGACATATCAGAGCGAAATGCAAAAGCAACAATATAATATGAAGACCTGAAAAGTAAAAGCTAGAGATAAAAGAAATAACAACTAGACTAACAGATTTATTAGCCACAGTAGAAGCCAGAAGATAGTAGGGGGTAATATCTTCAAAATGCTGACTGAAAACAGCTGTCAACTTGAGTTTTATCCAGCCAAATTATCACTAGGATTGAGGAATTTCCCCTCTGCCTGTCAAGACATTGTTAGATTAAAAGGAGGTAGGTCATACTCTTTTCTTAATAGTTTTGAAATGTACCAATATACTAATTGCATTATGCACATTAGATATTGTCTTATCACAACAAATAAGTAAGCAGGGTGATGGATGGGTTAGTCAGTTTGATGTAAGCTTTTCACATTGTATATCAAATCAGTATACTGTACCCCACAAATGCATCAATGTACACAGTTATGATTTAATAAAGAGAAAAAAGGGGTAAGTGTATTATCAATAGATCCTCCCTAGCAAAACTTCTAGGGGAAGATAAAAAATGAACTCAGAAGGAAGATTTGAGATGCAAGGAGCAAAAGTGCTCAAAAGGATTGGTAAATCTAAATAAACATTGTGTTACAATAATAATAACAACAGTAACAATTCATTTGGGGATTAAGACCAAGAATGACCTAAAATACAAAACAATTAACATGTAAATTAGGAGAGGATGTGACAAGAGAGTGTTAAAGTTCTCTTGTTTAGGGGGAAGGTGGAGATACTAATTTTAGATTTTGTTAATTATACACATTAAAATGTTAAGGGCCAACAAAAGTTGGTTGCATTACATACAATACATAACAGATAATCACTATGAATGATTTTGAAATGCAATATTTTGACCTTATATCTTTACTGGGATATCTGCTAAGAATAAAAGGAATCATAACAATTTTTTGAAATGTTAAGGCTAACTTCCAAATGAATGAAAACAGATTACATAACTTAAATTTGTATGTAAAAATTCGATCAGTCATTAAGAAGGTGAATAGGGCGGCACCTGTGGCTCAAAGGAGTAAGGCACTGGCCCCATATGTCAGAGGTGGCAGGTTCAAACCCAGACATGGCCAAAAACTGCAAAAAAAAAAAAAAAAAAAAAAA